TGTCGGTACTGTATCATAATAATTTCTTTTTCAGCATTTTCCACTTTTTGTTCCACCACCTCTGTTTTCAATGTCAAGTTAGCATTGGCATCATTAAGAACCTCTAGAGTATCTTCCACTCCAGAAATATGTTCTGTTAATACAGTTACAAGACTGTACAAATGGCCTATTTCTTTGGGGTCCATAAATCTCTTGGCACTCCATACATTACTTGGTTTAATATTGACATTGTTGGCTCATTTTTCTCCCCAAAGTACTAATTCGAAACAGTCTCATAGATTTTGGATGCCATTCTTAGAATTTACGCAATCATAAGCAACAGATTTTAATGGACAGTAAAAGAACATTGGCAGTACACAATGTCCTGTTTCCAGATCAGAATTGATGCAAGGAATAGTGCCAATAATTTCTGATTATACATTTGTGTGTGGCTCTTTTGCACAACTGGAATTAAAACTATTTTTACTCAATTCTAGGCACATGTGACTTGGGACCTGTACATGTGTTAGAGGAAAATTATTGGACTTGGATGCAAAAAGGACTGGAAAGATTCTATGTCTCAACTATCTGGAATTTTAAATATTCCGAACTTTCCCATTAACTGAATCTATTTAGATAATGTTCAAATAAGGAAAATATTTTCCCTTCATAATCTTGTAAATATAGCTTATTGCATTACATTTTGGGGATTGGATCTGAATCAGAATCTTGATCTTTTTGTATGATCTTTATTATATACTACCAAACTTCTTTGAAAAGTCAGATTATTGCAGGTGGGAAGGTTATGTTGTTGTTTTGGTTGGGGACACATTAGAGTTGTAAACAGTATGCTACTATTTTAGAACTTTCTTTCCTGGTACTCTTATAGTTCTGCAGATCCATGTTTTACAGATTCTGAATTAGCCAAGACTATTCTAAAACAAGCTTTTTTATTTGCAGTGGTGACCGAGAAGCTATACGAAAAATTGCTTATGAATTTGTGGAGATGAAAGCAAAGGAGGGTGTGATCTATGTTGAGGTGAGGTACTGCCCTCATCTTCTTGCCAATTGTGAAGTAGATCCAATCCCATGGAACCAGAAAAAGTGAGTTATTGTTTAAATGCATAAGATAATGCTTCCTTGTCTTGGAAACTTCCTATTTCATCTCCCAGGCAGTTGCTGAGAGTTCTGGAAATTGAAGTTCACATCCCTGGAAACACAAATAAAAAGATATAAATTACAGTATTCTAAGAGGAGCAATTAAATTTTACTGGATGGCAGGTGACTTTGCAGTTTTGTGACTAATGGCACACTGTATTTGTATTCAGTGAACATGCAATACTGATGTTGACAGTATAATGACTCTGCATATCTTTTAATTTTTCATAGCATATAAGAGATCAATATAGAGCAGTGTTTCTCAACCTTGGCAACTTGAAGATGTCCGGACTTCAACTCCCAGAATTCCCCAGCCAGCCTGGCTGGGGAATTCTGGGAGTTGAAGTCCGGACATCTTCAAGTTGCCAAGGTTGAGAAACACTGATATAGAGTTACTTTGTTCACTAGAAAGTGGACATTTCTTTACTATTTTGTTCTTCTGGTTCAGTACTTAGCTCTGATTAACAATACTATAATTTCCATGAATATATTTTTTTTATCATTTGTTTTATCATTTATTATGACAAACAAAAAATATAAACACAGTGCAACTAAGATTAAGCATTTTATGCTCCAATCTTGTGAACTTCTTTCAACTATAAATATTTCTCCAGTATTGATGCATTATATTATGATATTAATAAGATATTAATACGGGGATGTATTTTATGGCTTTACTGTCCAGTTTAAATCTAGTACTTTAAAGGATTTAAACTAGTTCATGTTTCTAATTTCTCACTTTGTGGGATCAATAATCAGAATAACCAAATAAGAGAGTTGGAAGGGACTTTGGGGATCTTCTAGTCCAACCCCCTTCTCAAGCAGGAGAACCTGTAACATTTCAGACAAATGGCTATCCAGTTTCTTCTTATAAGCCTCCAGTTATGTTTGAAGGCAAACCCTTCCTCTGGTTAATTGTTCCACCTGCTAGGAAATTTCTCCTTAGTTCTAGGTTGTTTCTCTCCTTGTTTAGTTTCTTGTCTTGCCTTCTGGCCATTATGTATAAAATTACACATAGTAAGTTGACCCTTCTGGAGAACTTTACAACAGTTACATTTGTTTAGATAGAACTGTGAAGCATTATTTGAAAACTAACTGCAAACTTAGCTCAAACCAGTTTTGTAGGGAAACCTCTTGGAAGCTTAAAGGAGTCTAGAAGATTTACTGCTCCTCTTGGTTTTTAAATTCCTGCCAAGGTAGCCTGGCATGCTATATTTTGTTGTTAATTAGCTTATCTGAAATGTGAGTGCTATCTCCATGTAGAAAAGAAACTATTTGCCCCATAATAAATAAAGCTGGATAATGTTAGCAATATGATTATTAATATCTATTATGTGTTCATGTCAATAAACAAATTCATAACAATTAATTATCTAATATATATAGTACACTGATTATTTATTTTTCAAAGGGGAGATGTTACTCCAGATGACGTCGTTAACTGTGTTAATCAAGGATTAAAAGATGGAGAAAAGGATTTCAACATCAAAGTCAAGTCTATTCTCTGCTGCATGCGTGACAAGCCATGTAATGTATAACCGTTTACTGATAGTACTGCGCTCTCTGTTTTCTTTTCTCCATCTTCCTCCCTCCCCACATTGAGTGTTCAGATTTAAATCCTTCTGTAATTTAGGCAAAGAATATTATTTATCCCTAGTTGAGATAAAAGCAAGATTTCCTAATGCAATATTGAAATCAGTAGTTCATATATCAGCATAAAAGTTGTGATTGATGTTTAGGATTGAAGCTGTAGTTGTCTGCTGCGTTTAAATTTAATAAATAAATGAATTTGGAACCTGCTCGTGGGTGTTTCCACATTAAAAGGTAGGCATGATGTAAAAGAGTTTTGTGAATAAAACAAATGGCTCTGAACTGAAATAAGAAACTTAGTTGCTCCAGGTTTCAGCTGGGATCTTGTAGGATGAATAGGGCAAGGCTCTTTATGCTTCTCTTCTCCACATGCTTTTGTGCAGATACACCCACTGATCTTTACATCACTTTTCCCCAAAGGGCTATGCTAGACAAATTTAGCCACTGATAAATCACTTACTCATCATCTCCACCCTTAATTCAGGCACAGCGTATCCAACTAGCCAACCTGTCCATCCACCCAATTTAGATCTTAGACACAGTGACTAGGAGATGATGGTGAAAGAAAGGTAATGGGAAGGCTAATGCCATGTGGCTGCTGTAATATATGCAGCTGGTCAATTGTCTATCCTCTGATCTTCCCAGTGATTTCCTTTCTCTTCTTCCATAACACTGCTTGTGACCTTGCCTTCCCCCCACATCTCTATCCTAAAACACATTTGTTGAAACACATTCATTTGAGGTCCTTGTTTGAACAAAAGGCATGTGTTGGAATATAGCCAGTTTACTTAGTGCTTCTATGTATCGTCTTTCCTTGAAAATAAGACAGGGTCTTATTTTCTTTTGACCTCTGAAATAAGCATTTGGCTTTATTTTCAGGAAGGTCTTACTATTTTTGAGGCGCAGGAGGTGGCGAGCATGGTCACCTCATGCTGCTGTTGTGTTGCAATATTTTCGGGGAGGGCTTATTTTAGCGCAAGCACTCAAAAGCCCAATTGGGCTTATTATCCGGAGAGGTCTTATTTTGGGGAAAACAGGGTAGTAATGGGTTATTGACATTGCTCCTTAAAAATTCTAATTGATAAATTAGTTGTGCCCCTATAACTCAATTCAATATATCTAATGATTGCAATGATAATCTGCTGGATGCTGGTACACCAACCTTTCAGAATTAGGTTGTCAATCTGAAAGTTTTGGAAACAGCTTTATTTCTAGATACATTATGTGCTATATGTCTATACATGTATAAATATCACATAGAATGTAATGAGAAATGCCAGGACAGAGTTATCAATCTATTTAGTTGAAGAAAGAAATTCCTATCTTTCTTTCTTGAAAAGATGGAAGTTTCAGTGACTGGAGTGAATAATTTTACTGAACTAAATCTTATTTCCAGAGTCAAGGGAATCTACAAATTATTTTCTTATTTGATTGTTGCTATGACCCTACATATGCTCCAGTTATTCAGAACTTCAATTTGGCAGTAATAGTTGCACTTTTATGTAATAGTATGTAATAAGATTTCCAGAAATATTTTCTCCAGAGAATATTTTTTCTAGCTTAGATAATTATTTATTTAATGGTAATGTGTTCCTTTGAATAAAGGCTTGCATTTGTACAGTGAGCCACTATCAATTAATCTCATGATTATTTATCAACAGTTTGTAGTCTATATCAATAATTTATATTGTGGTCAATTTATATTGGTTGCATTACTCTTTGTAATACTGTATATTTTTTCTTTTATAATTAGCTATTATATGAACTACTTTGTTATTTTGCTACTCCTCTGTTTTAGAGTATTGGTGAAATAATTTTTAATTGAAGATTAAACAACGTGAGAAAAGATATATTTGTTACCTTAAAATTATATATAAAACTTCATAAATTAATAACCTTTCAGTGGAGAAAAAGTTACGCTTTGACAACAGTGCATAAGTTTGGATATATTTGATTCTATCTTGTATGTACCAAGCCTACACAGCATGCAAAACTGTGTGACACGATTATGAATCTCCGTGTCCTTGGTATGATTATGCGCTTTCCTTGAAATATTATTTAGTTAGAAATTCTAGGAAGTGATAAAATGGAATACTTTTACACTGTAGCATAGTTTATGGAGAGTCCTCAAACTCTTCTAGAAATTTCAATCATACTGAAATGATAAAAACTAACCAGAAATAAACAAAAGTATCTTAAACATTGTAATTCTTTGTGGCCATTCCGCTATTTACAACATTTGCTTGATCTCCACAGAAGTTGTCAAAGGGAAAGTCAACAAAATAAAAGTGTCATTTATGTATAACCATTTTTAATTAATGATTACAAGTCTTATTTAAGCAAGACCTTGGATTCTGCCAAAAATTTTAAAAAATGATCCTTATTTATGTTTTCCTTTCCAGGCTGGTCGCCAGAAATACTGAGACTGTGTAAGAAGTATTGGAACGATACAGTGGTTGCTATAGATTTAGCTGGAGATGAATCGATTATTGCTGACTGTTCAGGCCACCTAGAAGCTTATAAAGTATGTTCAGTTTTATAATCAGCCTAAGATTCCCAGTAAGGGAGTAGTTCAGGACCAATCATTCTCTTATTTTCAGCAATATTTAATGTTCCAAATCATTGTTCGGATCAAAATTTCTACTTCCCATGTGTAATACAATATCCAGATTTCAATTACAAGTAATGTTTCAGCTTTGAATTGAAAAATCTCTGGTTAAAACTCTGAGGAAAATATGTATATGGTCACTCCTCTGTTTTAGATTTCCCTTCTATTTACGCATCTTACTGATACGTTTTAGGGTTGTGTTTGTTTAAAAATGAGAAATCCTTTGGCTTTCACATGCCTTTCCTTCTTTTTGTTCCTTGAAACAGCCTGACTTTTCCAGATTTTGGCAGAGCCTGAAAAGTGCTCTACTGTTTTTTGGTCACATTATTTTTAATGAATGGATTTCTCTTCCTTTTCCAAGTCCCATCAGTAAGAACCTGGGACAAACCTAATCTTTTGAACTAGGAGGAGTAGAGGTTTTTTATTCAAAATTACTTTCCCACATTTGAGAGTAACCTATTTATCTTTAGCCAGTCTCTCCTAAGTAATGATTATTCAGGGTGAGACAGCCATCCCTTCAAAACACTTCCTTGACACAAATTGTTTTAATGTGGCCTTCATGGCATGCAGTATCTTGTGTTTATTTCCTATAGAGAAAAGTTGAATTACATGTTAATTTTTGATGTATTAGTTTTCAAAAGTATTAAAAATATCAATCTTCTTTCTTTAATAATTCAAACGTGCTGATATTTTCTCCTATGAACTATCAATTTAGAAACACGAGACCGTGAGTTCAAGGCCCACTTTAGCCAGGAAAGCTGGCTGGGTGCCTCTGGGCCAGTCACTCTCTCTCAGCCCAATCCACCTTACAGGGTTGTTGCTGTGAGGAAAATAGTCCTCAACTTACAACAGTTCATTTAGTGACAACTCAAAGTTTACTGTGGGACTGAAACCAGTGATTTGTTGTTTATCACACTGAAGCTAGGATAGTACTTTGGGTAGATGCTGTCTGCTTCATTTCAGAAAAGCTTCTGTAGAAACCATTCTACATATGCCCTCTTGAGTGATTGAAAAATCCATACAATTTCAAATGGTTCATTATTATCATTTCTATTTCATCCTTTTAGTTTTTGATCAGGAAAGGCTTCCAAGGTCACTTAGAATCCATTTCCTTCTATTTACAATCTAAAAAGACATGACATTAATGAAACATAATGGGCTTCGATTTATACAGAAGGGAAATAGAACTGTAATGGAATCAGAATTACAGGTTTTCTTATCCCAGTTGCTTTCAAAACAATTCAATTTTCTGGTTTTCTAGCAGAGCTGAGAAAAAGTCCAGCCTACTTTCTCTTCCCTTCCCACTCTTTGGCTTGGACAACAGGGAAGAGACAAACCAGTGACTATCCCAAGAGTTTTTGTCTCTTAATACAAATTGTCTGTGTCTATGAAGAACTAAGCTAAGACACTGAGCTTGTCGATCAGAAAGATTGGCAGTTCAGCAGTTCGAATCCCTAGCACCCCGTAACAGAGTGAGCTCCCATTACTTGTCCCAGCTTTTGCCAACCTAGCAGTTAGAAAGCATGTAAAAATGCAAGTAGAAAAATAGGGACCACCTTTGGTGGAAAGGTAACAGTGTTCCGTGCGCCTTTGGCATTTAGTCATGTCGGCCATATGACCATGGAGACGTCTTTGGACAGCACTGGCTCTATCAACATTCTGAGCTTTGCATTCAATTTAATAATCATTTTTCCTCTTTAAGAGCAAAAACAATTCTAAGTAGGATTGATTTGTTTGGCAATTCCATGTTCACTACCAACAGAATATGAAATAGCAGATACAATTGTCAAAAATGTGTTATCTTATGTAACAATTGCAAATTACCGTTTCTATTTCCTATTGCTCAGGAAGCTGAAAGCTCTGGTATTCATCGGACTGTTCATGCTGGAGAGGTTGGATCATCCCAAGTCATCAAAGAGGTAGGAAATAGTACCATATAACTTGTGTGTCATCTGGAAAGCTGCCAGCTAGAACTAATGTAGAAAATTGTAAAATCCTGTAAGGACTGCTTAACAAAAAAAATGTTTTCAATTTTTTTTAGAAGAGGTAAAAGATAAGAAGAGGTAATTTAAATATTTCTTTTATTATAGCATAAATAATTAGGATGGTTTTGCAAAATGTCTTGTCATCCAATGAATTCAATCTGTGCCCCAAATTGTTTCTTAATCATTAATTAAGTAGTACCCCTTCATTTCCATTCATTATTCTACTTAATATTAAAATTCTGCTTTTATTTTTTTAAACCAAATAATATATTTTGATTTTCTAGAATCAGACTGCAAATAATGTTGCCATCATTTTCCGTTATACAAAGGTGTACCTTACAGAACACTGTAGCTCAGTTCTTTTCTGTCTAAATAAGAATTAGAAAAATCCAGCTCTACGGGACAAACTATAAATGCCCAAATCCTACTGGCAGAGACATTACTTACAATGTTGGCCCTTTTCTTGAAATCAGTTAATAGTTTCCATCCGTTTTAAACTACTCAAGCTTTGCTATGTTTTTTGTTAAGTTTATGCAAAAATGGTTTGAGGTTATAATCTGGAGTATAAAATCTATCATTTGTAAATTTCTACATAAGAGAAATTCAGGTTTAGCAAGAAAAAATGAGTATGGGAATAATATTAAAAGGAAGTAATATGTAAATCTAAGGCATGCTCATGTATACTCTACTCTTGAATTGCTATAAATGTATCTTACACTGTACTTTACGATTTTGTATTAGATATTCATTAAACACCATCTAACTTTGTTGTTGAGGGATTGATGTGTCAATTGTAGAGGTATTAATCTGAGAATAGTAATTTCTTCCTATTTTTTTCCCTTTATATCACTATAGGCAGTCAACATTCTTAAGGCAGAACGAATTGGCCATGGCTACCACGTCTTTGAGGATGAACAACTTTACAAACAATTGTTGGAACAAAATGTACATTTTGAGGTAATAGAATATCTTCTACAAATCTCTGTATGTACTTCCTTAACAATTTTTAAAGACAAAGATAAAATTGTTAAATACTGAGTCAGCACACTAATCTGCATTTCTCTGCTTTTTTCTGCCTTTCTTGGAAAAGCTGAAGCTTGAGTGAGGAACTTCTTTGGAAGTAAAATCTTGTGGTTTGAATTAATATGAAATTTATTTTGCAATACAGCATGCATATCATCAGTTTTCATAAAAGAAAAAACTTCTAAGCCTGTAATTTCAAAAAAGGATAAAATACAAATTAAAAAAGAAAACGTTAAAAGAAGAGGGAGGGGATTAAAGAGGGGGAGAATTAAAAAGTGACAAAAGAAAAAGAACATAAAAAGGATTTTGAATCTTCTTCAGTACAAATATGAAGTATAGTAACCGCTTACTCTAAATTATAACAAAAACATCATATAAACAGTATAGAAACTAAATCCAAATTTCCCCAAAACTACAGAACTCCTTATTCTAAATTTAACCATAAACCTTAAAATATACAATCTATATATTGAATAATTATAGTATACCAATATTTCTATAATCTCAACAAATCTAATTATCAAATTCTAAAACTTCATTTTTATCTTTCTCAAGCAAAAAATTCAAAAGTAGTCTCGAGTAAAAACCAAGTAAATAAACTTTTATCTTTCATCAAAATAATCAATTTTGTTACCTTTGCCAATTCCATTAGTTTTGCAATCCACTCTTTATTTCTTATAAGAAATAAGATTAAATAAGTAAATAGTGAAAATGCCAAGTGGACAAATTGGGATACTATTCCCTGTGGATACATTGCTTAATTAACATTTTTAAGGCCTCCAAAGGTGATTGATTTCTTAGGCCTGCAGTTAGCTACAGGAAAGCAACAGCACAGAAAGTGCAATTGTTAAATGCAAATATGTTGCATTTAAGTCTACAGTGGTAGCTCAGTACTTGTTGTTAATTGATTCTGGGAGGCGCAATGAGTACCAAATAAAATTTCCCATAAGGAATATTGTAGTGAATCATAAGGCAGCTAACACTGAAAAGTTCTAACTTGTGCATTCAGTACCAAACAAATGAGGAGTATCAGGACAAAATTTTCGTGTCAAAATGTGTGGAATACCAAATTTGATGAGTTTCAAAGCAGTTGAATACCAAGGTCTCACTGTATACAATATTATGTAAAGGGTGTGTCAGTTTAGATTCATTTAGAGATTCATTGACACCTACAACTTGACAGGGAGTGAGTCAACTTTTGGATGCTTGCATTATGTACAAGATATACATAATGTAAGCCTGTTCCTTATTTGTCACACGGCAGGTTATAAATATACTGTCCTATGTTAAACCTGATTGCTTAATGAAAGAAAACTATATTAACATGTTATGTCTTCTTATTTTGCTTTTGGGGATATCACCTGAAGTGTATTAATGTCTATAGTTTGATACCAAGAGACAAAGCCACATGTTAGAGCCATCATATATAACTAGAATGCTAAGATGAATGTCAGATTCATACTGTTGCATTTTACTGCAAACAAAAGGTGTAAATGAACTCTTTTCACAAACATGATTTGGTTCTTGGTCTGTATCTGACTGATCTCAAATCTTTGAATTAACTATCCTTTAACTGGCATTAATTGTTCTTTTTACAACTGACAACAGTCCATTCTTAATTAGATAGGTGTAGTTTATTCCATAATCTTTCCGAAGAGTCTGTAGAAATTGACTGCAGTGGTACAGATTAATAATACCAAATGGATCATGTGCATTTTTCAGTTCATATGTTCACTTTATATGAAGTGGTTCAGGTAATTTTATAAACAATATTTCAGGATGAACAAAATGAATTATTTGGTCTGAATCTATGCATAGAATTATTCTCAGCTGTTATGAGCTTTTTATAGAAAACATTCACTCTCAAGTAGGATTTTCATTTTATTAATTTAATAAATATTTATTCACATTAAACACTTTTAAAAAGATCTATATTGAGCATCTTCATTTCTCTCTGCTTAAATATATAGCTCTGTCCTTGGTCTAGTTATCTCACTGGAGCATGTAAAACCAGCTTCAAAGAACATCCCGTTAAAAGGTAAGTATTGCTATTACTATAATTACTTCAGATAAATTATACTTCAGCTCATTTACGTTTCCTTTTGATTACTTTTTGAATTTGCAAGAAATTGTTATAAAATATTTTGAAAAAAGAAGCACCATTTTAGATTTTGGTAAATGTGTAGCAAAATGCAGTAGGAAAGCTTACTGTATACTATATTTCTATCCATGGATAATAAATCATTTAACATTTTCATTTTTGTCTTTCCAGATTTAAGAACGATGGTGCAAATTACTCCTTGAATTCAGATGATCCACTCATTTTCAGATCCACAATTAACACAGACTATAGAATTACTCAAGAATACATGGAATTTACAGAACAGGAATTTGAGAAATTGGTAAGTTGATCTGTTTTTCATATTGGCAATACTTTGCCCTTTTTGTAATGTCTGACTTGTTTTGATCTGTTTGTTTTAAAGTAAAATCTTCCTAATAAACTGAAATTGCAGATGTAGATATGGTTAATCTTTTCAAGCTTTTTAGAGATAGAAATATAGGCATCAAACAAGATGGTCACATGAAGACCATACTGTGGAGAACAGAAGGGACATTTTACCTACTTCATTTGTAGAGAAATGCTACCGTATATACTCGAGTATAAGCCGAGTTTTTCAGCCCACTTTTTGGGCTGAAAAAAGCCGCCTCGGCTTATACTCAAGTCTACAACTGGATCCGGCAGTGCTGTTGCCTGTTGGAGGAGGAGGAGGCAACCCAGCCTGCCCCCGCCGGCCCCCGCCCCCCCGCCGCTCTTCCCGCTCCCTTCCAAGCCCCACAGTCCAGCGGACGGAGCAGAAACAGCCCCGGGGCTTCACTGCCGCTCCCCGCATTTTTTGCACGGGGATCCCTTGGAGAGGGGATTCTAGCCTGCCATCGCCGGCCACCGCCAGCCCCGCCGAGAAGAAACCTCACTGATGCAATCCATGAGAAAAATATACAAACAACATCAATAGTATAAAGCAGTGGTCCCCAACCCCCGGTCCGCTTTGGTAGCCACCCGCCCGGCCGCCTTGGTAGCCCGTGGAGACGGAGCGCGTTCGGTTAGCCGCTACCTGGGGGCGCTGTCCCCATGACGTCACCGTGGAGTCCTCGCCTCCTTCCCTGGCGAGGCTTTCTCCCCGCCAGCCAATCAGAGGCCAGTCCCCGGGCAAAGGGGGCCAAGTTGCTGGCCGGTCGAAGCAGAAGCGGGAGATTGGAGGGGGGGGAGAGAGAGCAAGAGCGAGCGCTGGGCGGGTGGCAGCGCGTTACACAGCGGACTAGGCGCGCCGCGGGCTGCCAACCCCCCCCACACACA